CGCAGAGGCTATGTGATTTCCCTCTTAAACGCTTCCAACATCAATTCTCGTAGGCGTTTCGAGTGACCTCTCTTCAGGATTTTCAACCACAATTTTATACGTATTTCTCGTTAATTATGTTACAGTTCAGTATTGCGGCGTTAAAATATTCGCATGTAAGACTTAAACTCCGATATAAGCTTCTGTAAATTCTACGTGGAGCTTATTCCTAGCGCAAGGTTTGTCTCGCTACAGACTGACAGATGGTGAAAGGAAGAAAAATTAAAGTTTACTTTAATTCTTTCAGCGTTTTACTTCGTATATTCGCTCATACCGTAAATTCGTGCGTCATTCTGGAAATGGAGACTCCAGTTTAAACAACGAGGTCTGTCTAAACAAACCCAAACTCACTGGTCGTTGAGTTACATCACGTGTGATGTCAACATGACTCCTCTCCAGTACGAAGCCACATTTATTAATAGTGTGGACTCCAACAGCGAATTGAAGCTGTCGGAGTAACGATTGCACATTTGTCTTGTATTTTGTATCTTCAGTAGCAGGAATTTAAGAGTTTGAGTTGTGTAGGACCGCGTTTGTAAGGAAACTAGACCTAATAACTAATTTAAATTCAGGGGGGAATGCAGGGCTTCAGTGCCTATTGGTGTACGATATTCAACTTCGACATGTCTGTCTGCTCCTATGTCCCACATAAGAATACGATAACAGATGAACGAATTTTTGTGAGACTTGTGGAATGTGACGCCGTGTAGACTCGTATGAGGTAACCGAGCTATGATGCGAAAGCCGGATCTTAAATAAATTGTCCTATTATCAAAGTGAATTTTCAAGAGTTTAAATTGCTTTGGAAAAGCTACGGATGAAAATCTCTGCATAGGACGATAGGATAATTAATGGAGCATAAATGCATATTTAGAATGTACTTTAATAAAATATCTTTGCTTTAGGCATGGTTGTATGGAATATACAAAGAAAATTGTAAAATGGCTATATGGATTAGACATTTGGCCTGTTTGAATGCAGAATTAACTTCTGAAACTATAAATAAATTCTGAGATTTCAGCTTCACGTAGGCGGAAATGGCATTTGTAGCCTTCTGGTTTGTGATTCCGTAGTCTTGTAGGTGTTTAACAACGTCTTCGTATGATCGTATGTAACCATCTACAGGAGTACGCTACGTCACAACCCAGAACACCGCACGTCTTCATATTTATTATTAAAGTTGGGAAAAAATCAGGACATTTTTATAAACAATGGTATTTATTGATAGTTATGTCCATCTCTGATTGGTGGCACTGCAGTACTTCTTATCGCCGTCCGAGAGAAGTACACAGCGACATTATTCAGAGTTACACAGTTGATAGGGCCTACAAGCCTAAGGGAAACAATTTGCCAACTTTGTTTCTTCTATGATAGCATACAACATCTTTCATGGAAAAGTAGAGTAACGTGGAACATACAATGAAACACATTCACCAATTCTCTTCTTTTACAATAAAGAACTAACGTGAGAGTTAATTCCAACATGTGTTCCATTGTCCATCACAAATTAAACATGTCGCTTTCTTCATATTGAAAAATATGAGCACTTTTCACAAAGCGTATGCACTATCAATCGAATCATATTTATATATAATTCAACATCAAATTCTTAATTTTAAGTTCTATTAATATAAAACACATTATCTGTATTATATATTATATATATATATATATAATTTAAATTTTTCGTACTCTGATATTCACAATCCGTATTCGTCTATGTATTGCACTCACATTTGTATTAAAATCTTTGGTCTTCTCGCGCCAACTCCGTGACTAAATTGAATTAACATGTTGAAGGTTCCAACATGCTCACACAGGAACTTCCTCATTCAACACCGCCGTAAGTTGGAAGGGACTAGTAGAAGTCTTGCTCTGGGAGGCTTTTCCGGATGGTTGAAGCAAGAAAACATTTAATCCGTTACCACAATGGTACAGAGAGTTGAGTCCCCTGCTGCATCCTGCACCCCGCAGACTGCTTGTGACCCCTGGTGCCTTTACAATCTGTGACCAAACAGCAGGCCGTACCGCCTATTATGTCATAGGTCCTTCCAAAAGTTCTAAAAGGCCCGTCAGTCACCTACCCCTCACGACCTCTCCTCTCGGCCCGCTGACTGTGCACGCATTTGCTGTATGTGAATAATCTCCTGCAGTTATGCATTGACGACGAATATGTCATTCAGCGTATGACTTGAATAATATTAACAATGTAAATGACCGGTTGATATCGGAATTACCTTCCCGACATTAAGTTCTACGACATTGATGGGATATTCCCATGGGAATTAATTAAAATAATAAAGGTATAGTCTATCATTCTAATATTTCTCATAGAAAATATAATTCAATTTAGTTAACGAAATAATATTATAAATTAAGGAAGGTAAATGCATATATGATTTTAATTCTGTAATATTCGAAAATGCAGAGTGATTTTTCAACGCATCCCAATTTGTCCTTATGCAGTTCCTCGTGAGCTGGACTACTTCCTAGGGCTTGCTATGGCAATATAGCGCATTGACCGAGGAAGATCCATTTTCTAGTTTTGTAAAAACTTTGTAACGGAGTACAATCATGGAACTTTAATTTCTGAGTGAGATAAAACCGATTTGATGGTATGAAAATATCCGCAGTGTTTCGAATTTCGTCATGTGTGCAAGAGAACTGGACGTAATATTCTTTGAAACAGTCGTCTGGAATTTTTCGCTGTGGAATATGTTGTATTTACTGCAGAGAACAATTTTGTCTTTCAAGTCACCAAAACAGCGCTTTTCAGGAAACACGACCAACTTTGACTGCCGTCGCATGTCTCAGTACGAAGCCGATGTTATGGTTTTAACTTTAGAATGCGCGTCAGAAGAACAATAGTGACAATAATGCACTATTTTCTGTCTTAAATTCAGCAGTGCGGATCATTTGAGATTTGAGGTTTTTGCTGTGGTGAGAATGAAGACGCTTTGGCGCCACGTTAAGTTTACATCAAACAAGGAACACAGGGCATTGTAGTGTCAGACGAAATTCTTATGCAAAATTTTGTTTTCTAAACTTTATCAGTTATACTGAGTAATATAGAAACAATAACAAGTGAACGCCGATTTCTTGCGCGGGTCTACAGTTTGTTTCCAAAGCCTTGTTACAACATTGCGCAACATTCCGATGTACACAGTAGAGCTTCATACTGAGTTGCTGAAATAAGCTATAATAAGTTTAAAGTTTAAATGCGTCATGTTTGTGTTTTATAATTAAATATAGCTATAATAACTCCATGAACCAGAGTTCTTCATGAGAAACTTTAAGTCGCTCAGCTGATCAAGAAATATCCGTCTGTTGTGGAACCAAAAGTTTCATCACTTCGTTAACGACAGCCCTAAAAAAAAGTCCGGGTCGTGAGTCAGATGAATCCAATTCACACTCGTACGCCCGATTTGCCAAAGATTCCTCGTCTACCCTACACTAATTTTATACTGTCAATTTGGTGTTGTTATTCGCAGGACAGAAACGCAACCCGCTAAACCAAGAGACTGTTATGTTCCTGATTCTTCTCATAAATTTCCGTGGGGTTGGTTGAATTGTACAGTAAGCGGAAAATAATGGTGAAACATAAACATGTTGACAGGCTAATTCTGACCAAGATTATTGCCACTGTAAGTGGGGATTCTTTAGTAGGATTTGAAGTTTTCACGGCGCCGAGTAAGTTTGGTAAACTTCTACCAGACTACACGGCGCAACACCCCAGAAGACAAGCCATCTTCTTGAAACTCTCTTTTCCCGTTGTCAGCAGAGCCAGAACATTCTCGACACTTTAAGTGAAGATCTACTGTGTACTGGTTGTGGCTTCGTGAAGAAATTTCGAACCCTTTATTATGCAGCGAGTGGGCACATCAATTGAAGTTTGCCCTACTTTGACCTGCGAGCCTCCTGCTTCTTGCACTCAGGACGTGGCATGCCGCGTGCAGACTAGGTCCTGCGACGCCGGAGGGGGCCGTGAGGAGCGGCATGGAGCTGCTTGCTCGCACACTGCAGTAGCCGTGGCTGGGTCACAAGATCTTCGAGATGTACGCGGGTCCCGGGGGCGGTAGCAAGAACGGGGCAATGAACGCGTGACTGCCTGCTGGGGGCACACTGGGGAAAGGCGGGGGTGGCACCTGTGCCAGAGAACTGCCACTTCCACTCGCCTCGTGTAGTTTCCTCATGTGCTTTTTGAGATCAAAGTTTCTACAGAAACCTTTCCCGCAGATTTTACACGTAAATGGTTTCTTGTCGTTGTGAGTGTGCATGTGAAATGTAAGGTTGTAGATCTGATGAAATGCTTTGTTACATATGTTGCATTTGTAGGCCTTTTCGCCACTATGCGTCAGTTTATGGTTCTTATAGTTACCCTTTTGGTGAAATCCCTTCCCGCAGAATTCGCATATGAATGGCTTGTAACCTGCGTGAATTCTCGTGTGCGTGTTCAGCGTTGAACTACGGTTGAAAGCCTTGCCGCATGTTTGACACTTGTGCGGTTTTTCCGCCGTGTGGATGATCTTGTGTCGACACAGAGTGGACGCCTGTCGAAAGCCTTTCCCACATATCTTGCACACGAACGGCCGGGCGCCTGTGTGCACAGGCATGTGCCTTGTGAGGTTGTAATGCGCGTTGAAAACTTTGCCACATTCGGGACACGTGAAACTCTTCTGCTTGGCTGCAGCGGTCGCACTAGAAGCAGGTCGTTTGCTCAGGCGGTCAGGTGACTCCCGCTGCTGGTGCGACAGCGACGCTTGTGGCTTTGGGGACAGTGGGCCAGAAGCCGTGGTGACCTTGTGCTCAGAACCGGAGGCAGCGACAGCTCCCGGGAGAGGCGTCTTGGCGCTGATGGGGCTGGATTCGGTCGTCGGCACAGTGATGGGCGTAGGACCTACTGGAACGCTACAGGACGTCGTTCCAGGAGCGCTCGGATAAGACACCCTCAGAAGATGGTTCGGATGATAATACAGTAGCGGATACTGGTGTAGTAAGTCCTGAGGGCGGAACGCGGGCACGTACTTCTTAAACGCTGAATCGATGTTGACGGGGTAAGGAAGCCGTGGGAACGAGAGTGCTGGCTCCGGAACTCGTCTGTCCGGCTCCATAATCTTTGCTATCGAGAACGTAAGTGGCCTGGCGACAGAACTCGACGATGTCGCACGTCCCCTCTCCGATGCCGTTGACGCCGCCGACGCTGTCCCACCCGCAGCAGTAGCAGCCGTCGTGACGCTTGCCGAAGACTCCGTTGCCATAACCCCGGGCAGAAAAGGCTGCATCTCTAGTGATTCCCCATCCACAACGCAACCCGCTAGAAAGAAGACGGACAACATTTTACGAATTGTACTTTGCCCGTGTGGCTTTAGCCCTTTGGAGTCTTAAGTACCTCTCTCAAAGAAAACACAACTCTCCTTGGTTTCAGAGATCGTCTGATTAAAGATCTCTTAGGGAATAATTGCTGTTTACTCTGGGAATCATACGGAGCAAATACGTACACTCTGTGGTAAAAATGCAAAACTATTGGTTTCTAAAGCAGGTGGTACATATAGATACCACTGGGCGTTAAGGCGTCAGCTGGTTACTGTAAAATCTCTCGTGGAGGACATGAGCAAACATCTCGTGTCGTCCTTATTAAGAAGTGTCGTTGTGTAATGAGCACCGTCCAGTGTCATTGTGACAAACCCTCGCCATATCACAGCACATCATTTGGAGATAGCAACACTGTTGTTTTCCCCTTCCCCATCTCCCACATCTTCAATTGTTATGGACCGCTGAATGGGAAAACATCCGAATTGCTGCTAGCTACAACATCGTCACCCTCGTATCTGCTCCCACCCCTGCTCCAAACTCGCTCGGTTTCTTTACTCTTGTTAATGTGCATTATGTGTGTTTGTGGTGGCCCTGATCCACCCTCGTCCCAGTCAGTTCACGAGTTCATTACCGATTCTGCCAGGATCCACCAGATGGCACTGTTGCCGAACCAATTTCTGCAGCATATGGTTCAAGTATTGTTTTATACATGGTTTGCATATCATGTGGAAAAGGGTAGAAAGGTCTCCGCGGGGTTACAGTCATAACTGTTCGCCTTTCAGTCCGCTGTGGCTCCTCTGATGCTTAACACACGATATGCCAGAGAACTGTGAATGCTAGTGAGTATTAGTACTTTGCCCGGGAGTATGAACATTTGAATATGAGACGCGACTGCTTTCCGATCTGCGGGCTGAGCCCAAGAAAGATTTATTTACTTCTCTTGGCACGCGCCCTCGGACGTGGGAACTCTTTGGCTGTCGACTCCCCATTCCGTGGTTCGCTACACGGCTTCGGTTTGTGGAACATGGAAAATGCTGAAGATATCCGTCTTCTGGGTATGACCTCTGAAACGTTGGTTAACATCGACCAGACTACACAGCGCAATAACCCAGAAGACGGAAATCTTCATACTCACCGCTGTGAAAACCTCAAGTCTTACATGGAAAATGCTGTTTAAGATATTAGCTAGATGACTTCTTACGGATCGCTCCTTAACGGTAATGCTGGGACGCTTTGTTTCTATTGTCACTGTAAGTCACGTGCCTGGGGTTGACTACATGTCCGACAATCATTCGCGAACTCGACTTGCTAATGCGACTAATTAATCGATGAGCGGACTGGGCCCACAACAACTTCTTGGGCGGTTAATCAGCCCGTCGCGAGGTCCCTAGCTACACAATGTGGAGAGACGTTGACAAACATCGATGTCTCGAGTTTGATTCTAACGCACGATCGTACTGTTCCAGCGGTCAATTCAGGCGTCTTAGATCGAGCAGCGTCTGTGATCGGCAATGATATTTTTCTTCTGCGAGATTTTTTGCTTATCACGACGGCGAAAAAGAGGATTTTGTTCTTCTGGGTTGTGACGTCAAAAAAAGTTGTCCATCGTTTGTGGAGGAAAAGGACGATCTTCGGACCTGAGAATTTCGACAGTATGTTCCACCTTTACGTAGGTATCTACCCGCAGATCTACACGTCGTCAGAAGAAAAACATCGCTGTGCCATAGGCTTTGAATATTTAAAAGCAAGTCGGCACTTAAAACACTGTCGTAATAGAGACCAATGTTCTTTAGAGTTTCAAAGAACTTCAAAGATTCCATTTTGTGCTCTTTTGTTACGTACATTGAAAGTACAGAAAGCCCCTGGGGGAGTTCGTACTAAAGTCATTCTAGAGTCAGACATTCACAAGTGTTAGAAGACAGTAAGGCAAGCTGCCGTCGTGACTGGTGGGCATATTCACTAACTCGCGGTTATTTGACTGAGTGTATGAGTTGGGGGAGGGGAACGGGGAAGGAGAGGGCGAAGGGTAGTGGGCAAGTAATTAATTCCTACAAGTGGAGACAGTGGGAGCGGTTAGCCAACTCACAAGCCCGAAAATTAATCCCTTTTCACGGTTTGAATGGGGAATTGTGAGTGCGGGATTGGAAGCTCGCAGCATCACGTCTTGACGGCTGACTTCTTGGGGATGACGGCTTCCGACTGGCTGCCGTGGCGTGCAATGCCACTAACCCACATATGCGGGTCTAGGCACATCATGTACGCCCTGGAGCAGTTAACCGTGCACACTTGGTCTGATTTGAGGTTTTCACGTCAGTGGAGCTGAAGGTGGCTGTCTTCTGGTAGAAGTTTATCAGACTTACAAAGGTCCTTGCTGCTTCCATCATCAGGGCGATGAGTAATCGAGACTACGCGCGGCAACATTCCGGAAGACTTCTCGCAGTGGTGAAAAGTCGGTTTAGGATGCCTGGTCATGGAGGCGACACGTTTTTCCGAAAATTTTGTAACCTAGCCTATAAGACTACGAGGCGTCACTGTCTAGAGCAGAAGAAAATCCATTATTTTAGAGATAGTCGATAAAGACTTTTTCCTTGAGCAATGTGTATCTAAACTGGATAATAACGGAATGAAAGCAGAAGTCGCTTGATTCTGGGTGGCAGGTCTTTTCGAAAATTAATTTGTCTCTAGGATAGAAAGAGCGAAATCTTTGTCCGAATATTCACATCTAATATCCCCGTCAAATGACCTGTGACGGAGACTAAATGTCTACCAGACCACACGATGCAACGCTCTAGAAGAAATCCATCTTCATATTCATCGCCGAGAGAACTTATTGTAGACTACATTTTCATTTATTTGAATATAAACGATTCGATATAATTTCTCCTTTGTACACTTAATCATACGATTAGTAGCTAACCATGTGACAGGCCTAAACTCTTATGTCCCTTAGAACGTAACAATTTACATTTATTTGATATATTTATAAATGTAATCGCCATATAATTGCTTTATTATGATTTCAAACGACGGTGATGGTGTTGATGATAATAAGAGTATCCAAATTCTCTCATAGGTGCGTGGGATTCAATAGCCATGAGTGAAAAAAACAGAATCTTTAAGAAAACATCCCAGATTAAGTATAGACTAACGTCTCTTCAAAGGAAAACGTAAAGAAACTATTATATAAATTAACATGCAGCAGAAAACCAGCTGAAACATTTTTCAAGGTTTTTAGCGCAAACACAAACAAATATTGAAAACAATTTCAGGCTTCAAACAAATTGAGAACTTTTTCAAAAGTTCTGTAGTTCAGGACAATTGTATCCGGCATTTGGACAGCCATCCGCGAGGAAGCATAGTAAATAATTAATGTGCCTTAAAGACGTTTAGTTAATTAGATAATTTCTGTTCTCTATTCTGCGGATCAGAGCAAAAATCCAATAAAATCAGGTCAACTTTAGATCCAGGTTCCATTTCAGATATGTTTTTCTGATATAAAATGTGAGACAAAACTTTATGTCAGTACTTTTTAGTTGCGTAATGTGAACTTCTTAAGAAGATAACTCTGGAGTCAGAAAAATTCTGTTTAGCATCTGAAGGTGCTATAGACTCGGGGCATAATCCGAGAGACTACTTACAGAGCCACAGGAAGACAGCTCCAATTGCCTGCTCGCTAACGGTGGATTCGACTGCTCTAACCTCCTTTAGAAGTCCAAACTCAGTCACCTTGGCGTGGCCTAAGGAGGCAAGCATAAAAAGTAACTCATGAAATCGCAGTCACACACAGAGGAAATCGGGCCTGCACTGATTCAAAATTCGCTGTCAAGTAGGATTTGAGGTTTTCACGGCGATGAGCACGAAGATGGCTGCCTTCTGGGTTGTAGCGCCCTGTAGAAGTTTACCAGCGTTTGAGAGGTGCTAGGTACCTCCATCATCAGGCCAACCCAGGAGACATCATCTTCTAATATTCACTACTGTTCACGAGCTTGAAAGAATCTTTCGGCAAAGTTTCATTCCAGTGAGAAATATTCTTTAACAATATGATTTGACTTGAGGTTCTCACAGCGGTGAGTATGAAGATATCCGTCTTCTGGGTTATTGCGCTGTGTAGTCTGGTCGATGTTAACCAAATTTGATTTGCCGTAACCTACACAGACAAGAACATTGTTCAATAAGAAAACTAATTCAGAACCAGATCGTGTATATTCTATATAAAAAATAAGCATATAAACAAACTGTTTACACTATAAATGACACTAGTGCCAATTTGTTTGTATGCTAATTTTTTTTATATTTCATTACACTACACGATATGCAAAGTTTTTTACGTGTCTAGGCGACCGTTCAAGATTACTTTGCAGTGCTCAAAGCGGTTTAAGGTTAACGCTCTGTCGTCGCTTAAAAACACTTTAATGCATGAAGTTGCAAATGTGCGTTGTCACAGCAGCGGGATCATGTCTGATGCATGATTTCACATCATTTCGAATTTGCGAACTGAATTTAATGTTATCAAATCTAAAAGTTCTTGACGATGGTGAAGAGTATTTGACCTTCGTAGTGAGTACCTCTGAAACGTCGGCCAGTGCAACATCCCAGAAGTTTCAACGATGGCGAGATTTGGAAATGAAACAACAGTTCTCCTTACTTAACATTAAATTCATTTGAATAAAAATTTTCTTGGATATTATCCATCGTCTAGTAAATAAAATATAAAACATAACTATTATTTACTAGACGATGGATAATATCCAAGAAAATTTTTATTCAAATGAATTTAATGTTAAGTAAGGAGAACTGTTGTTTCATTTCCAAATCTCGCCATCGTTGAAACTTCTGGGATGTTGCACTGGCCGACGTTTCAGAGGTACTCACTACGAAGGTCAAATTTATACGCCAAGCCGACATTTCATAGGTTGTTAAGTATTCGCGATGATTTTATTCCAGTCTCGTTAGAGAAGAATATGTCCTGTGCATTTTGTAGAAGGCAGCACTGATTGATTTACGTGGTTCAATTGCAATACGATGATGGCATGAGGGCGGCAAAAAGTGGCGTGTGTTGGCTTGGTACCTTTTCTTCGGCGTTGCCATCTGCGGGTGCGGCATGTGCCAGCTTCTTGTGGTGCAGTTGCGACGTATCGCGTTCCATCGCATTGTCCGTCGAAATGTAATTGATCGTGCCCACGTGCGGGGGTTTGAGGTGTCACTACGCCCATCTCTTCCTGTTCTTTGTCGTCATCTGCATCTGCCTTTTGCAAATCACAACTCTGCTAAAACAGGAAGCATTTCTTTTCTTCAAGACGTTGATTGTTAAAGCTGCGTCCTGGTGTATGCTAAGCCCCGCTCCCCTGTTATACCACATCCTTCCTTAATAAACCGTCGCTTCATAAAATCAAGCTGAGAGATTTTTGAAGGCGTCAAAGCGCGTTCATTTGATTTTGAAACGAATTAAATCCAGTGAATTAAGAATTCTTCCTGAATAATTTCTAGTTTTCACAGGATTGTGAGGTCGTTGGCTAGTTTAAAATTGCAATTGCTAAGATCATCTTACGACCCCGGAATTATCGTGGAGAGGCTGAGGAAAGCCACGTAAATATATTTTAAGAAACCCGGTATCAAGGCCGAGATATTACATCTGATATTGTTTTCCTGGGTTGTGACGCCGTGTACACTCGTAAGTAGATAGCAACGTTTCGGAGGAACATGCTCTCTCCATCTTCGTTGGTATCTACCTACACGGAGTCGAAACCCAGAAGAACAACAGATGAAGTCACTTAGATGTCTTAGATGTCAGCGAGTGAAGTAGACGAGAGTAATTAGGACGGAAACTGAAGAACTCGATTCAATGCATCTTGGTCTTTGCTCTAATTCTGAAACTAACTGTGCGGACATAATATCCGCCGAAATCTTACATATGAAACCATGGAAGGAAGAAGTCTGTATTACCGATCATTTCCAACGTTTCCAAAATAATTTTATTCAGATGTCGTCGTCGTCGTCATTAAGAAAGCGCGTCGCAGTCGGATATGAGCTTTCGATGTTTCTTCTCTCGTTACAGCGCGGTTGAGACGCGGAAGTTTGTCGCGTTCGATACAATGACAATGAATGAGAGAACGCAAACACTTTTTCCGCCTCTCCAAACACCGCTGTCAGCAATTTTCCTCTCAGCACCGTATAACACGCAATGAAAGAAAGGCGAGGCGAGGCGAAGCAGCAGCTATGGATGGAAACTGGAAGACTGCCTTGGTTCTTGGCGTCAGCTGAAAGGGGAGATCCCTAAGACACGCCCGATGGTGACAGCCTTTGACGTCATTTGCTGGGGACGTGCTACTGAAAGGCCTTAAGATTCCCTGAACCGACAGCTGAAATTGGTAGGTGATTCCAATCTCAAGGCATTCAACGAGGAAAAGGACTTGGAAAATGGGTTGATTTGACGGCTATAAATGGAATGAGTTCTCATGTAATGGGGCAACCTCACGATGCTATTCCAAACGCACCGCAGTCATGACAGACGTATTCAAAACATCATCACCATGAAAGTCGTTACACATCGTCTTAGCTGATTTGTCTATTGCAAACAGAAAGGCAGAAACAGGGCCAATAGGATAAGAATATTTAGGAACCGAATTTTAATACGTTATTTCATGTTATCTATCACAGTGTATTCTTTCCAGTACTAAAATCTTTTCAAAGTGAAGTTGTGTTTGTACCTATTGAATTTTAATGGCGAAAATTATATTTATTTACACTAGACATTACGTGTAGCCACGGTGGTCTAGCGGTTAGAACGCTGGCCTTGTAGTCCTGGGGTCTCGGGTTCGATTCCCGGCGGTGCCCGAATTTATAACTTGTGTTGGGCAAGGCCGTGGTCTAGGCAACACGGAGTTTTCCTCCGGGGGCTTCCCCGGTTTCTCCGTGACATCCCAACAATTACTCCATTCACACACAGAAGAAGGCAATGGCAAACCACTTCTGGAGCATCTGCCAAGAACGTATATGAACAGGTCCCAGTCCGAGAAAAGGATAGAAGGATCCTGTTCATATGGACCTGACCTGTCGTCAAAATGGCAAACACCTTCTGGATCATCTGCCAAGAACGTATATGAACAGGTCCCAGTCCGAGAAAAGGATGGAAGGATCCTGTTCATATGGACCTGTCGTCAGACAGAACACTAAATAAATAATAATAGACATTACGTAATCTGTCACCTTCATTAATATCGGGTAACATTAAATTTATAGACTGGACCGATAATGAATCTAAACGTTTCAAGACATTTTTGAGGTGTTACTTTTCTGAATTAAAGCTTCAGATTCACGGAGTTTGACAGCGAACAAGTTCTTAATTCTTTGCTGTTTTTGTTACATTAATTAAATCAAGGTAGACGATATTTTGGTGATGTGTGCCATGGATAGGGGAACAGGATATGCATACAATATTGTGACCGGAATTGTTTCGATTTAGAAGTCCGGAGTTCAGACCTCGGCGTCGACCCGTTGTCCTGACTGAGTACCCTTGTAGATATGGCGCTCTCCGCTCACGCTAGAGCCTCAACACCAGCTACTCGACAGCGTCGTAGCTGTGGGGGTGAGACTCTGAGTCAAGATTTGAGTCGGATAGGTTAACAGCCATTTCAGCGACACGCTCTGTTTGTTTGTGTTGGGCGTAAGATTCATTTCAGTCGTTGAATTAATATGTAAGCACGTGTGATAGGACTGTCAGCTTCAGTGTCTGGGCGGAAGCACGCCACGATCTGATAACGGTTTGAACTGACTTCGTGTGGTAACGAGGCGATGCAGCAGGCAGTGATAAATGGAACAGCGTCCAGAGGGTAGCAAGGTGGAGACGGTAGGAGCGCAGTGTTTGGGGGAGGTGGCATTTTGGCATAAGCGAAACGTGGATTAACAATTCTACGATCCTGAGGAATACGGACAGCTCACGAAATACAAGTCTGCTTTGATTGAGTTTAAGAAATTGGATCTCATTTTTACATTTATCGAATGTAATATTATTCACGCCTTATTTGACACGCACTGAATTTAATGTTGTTTGAGATTAAGAAATCGGACCTAAATTTAAATACTGGGATAGTGGCTGAGCACTGCGGGTCCCAAATTTTCGTTGGCTTGATCTATAGACATTTTGGTAGGAATCCTTGGACGAGACATTTAATTTTTTATTTTATTTAGTGTTCTGTCTGACGACAGGTCCATATGAACAGGATCCTTCCATCCTTTTCTCGGACTGGGACCTGTTCATATACGTTCTTGGCAGATGATCCAGAAGTGGTTTGCCATTGCCTTCTTCTGTGTGTGAATGGGATGCCACGGAGAAACCGGGGAAGCCCCCGGAGGAAAACTCCGTGTTGCCTAGACCACGGCCTTGCCCAACACAAGTTATAAATTTGAGCATCACCGGGAATTGAACCCGGGACCCCAGGCTTACAAGGATAGTGTTCTGACCGCTAGACCACATAATATTAAAGATGAAATTGGGCATAATTTTACACGTTTTGAATCTATATGACTGATTTTTTCGTAGGCGTAACAATTATTGTACGAAGTTAAACGCGATTCCAAAAATAAAAATAAAACATACACAGTAATATGAAAATTTTGCGTAGTAATTTATTATCGATGTCACGTCCATCGTTCGAGAATTCCTAAACACTATTCTGTATTTTATTAAAAAGCGATCTATAACCTGACTGAGGTCTATATGCACCACGAAAAATAAAAC